AGTGTCCCTATTTGTTTAGCGTCTGAGAGGTTTCACGTTTACACTTTATTGGTGCTACATTTCCACCAGCGCACAAAGGCACTGCCACGCAGCGGAGTGTGAACTCAGGCACACAGCAAACAAACTGGGAAACTGGGAAGGGGGGGAAAAAGAAAAACTACACAATAATGGCAGCTGAAATAAGGCACATTAGTGGCGAAAGCCACGGCCCCACGAGCCGACGGTGAAACGCTTAAGTAGTCGGGTTGGCAGAAAGGACAACAGCACAGTGACAGGAAATAAAAAAGGGACACTTGGCGGCGAAAGGAATACGAAGTGGCCACAACAAGGAAGACAATGCACGCAAAGAATATTAAAACGATGAAAGCCTGCGGATAAGGTGAACATAAAAGCGGGGAGGAGGGAGGCAAAGGCAGCTGGAAAAGCAAAGAAAACTAGCACACCGAACGAGTTGTGTGGAGCTGGGGCACGGCGCAACGAGTAAGGAGAATAAGAATCGAACAAAGTTAAGCTGAAGGCGCAGTGAGCAACGAGCAACGAGCAGCGGGCAGCTCACGGAGATAATGCAAGCGGTTCACGTTTAAAGTGCGCCGATAAACGTTGGCCCAGCACTGAGGAGGAGAATTTAAAGAAGCTACAGCAATTCTATAGACGCTGTAAGGTTACCTTAGCGGCCGAAGCTCTAGTAAAGTACTTGAGCTGCTTATAGTTGCGGAAGTATTCGAGGTTTGCCGCATTTAATGCTGCAAAATGAGAAGCAAAGCAAAGAATAGAAAGTAGCGTGGCAGCAGCGCCACCGAGGTAAATCGCAAGGTGCAGCCGGAGTTCAGCAGCAAATGAAGCGCAAACACGATGGCTGAACTGAATTTGTGTCAAATGTGCATGGAGGGGCAAGCAGAGCGGGTGGAGCACGCAGAACGACGCTTGACACGCAAGCGGCCGCAATAAAACCTACAATTATGTCGAGCTTGTAAGATAGCTTTAGAAATTTCAGTAATGAAATTGCGAATGCTTTGCGCAACAGATAAATTATAATCATTATAATCGATGGTGCTGTGCAATTTTCACATCAGCTGAGTGGTAATAACAGTAATTTGGTTAGGCACACTATTATTAAGGTAAAATATCGTAGACTGTCGAAAGAGAGCACAACAGTGCTTATGGAAAATATGAAAATAAATAGGTGGAGTCTTCTCCTTCGGATATGGAGTTACGCCTTGCTTTCTGAGATAGGCTCTGCTAAAGAAAATAATGTACCTTGAAATAATAAATTCATTAAGCGTTTGCGAAGTCCAAATTACTGCTGTTTAGTGAGTGAAACAATGAAAACAAAGCTCAAAGCGCCTAAAAATATGCAGTAAAGCAAGAAATCAACGAAGAAACATTCTCTTGTCTTTCTATCTCCTTCATACAACTGAAAAATTCCATCAAACTACAAATCTTCTACGCAAGCCACAAGTTGGAGCGACCGTTCCTAAGTTCTAGCGTTTGCACGCAGACGCTTCATTTTTATTTAGAGCTAATTGAAATAAATTAAATGTAATTATTAGCTTTGGAAATTTTTCGGATTCTTTGTAGTATGTATTTCAACGTACTCCACGCCCCACCACAACAACGGGCGGTAGACATGCCGCGCCCGACAAATGGATAAACAATTCCTCACACTCTCTCTCTCTGGCACTCTCGCTCGCTGGGCAAAAGCAGGGCAGCTGTAATTATTTACCAGTATGTGTGTGTATGTGCTATCAACCCACGACAAAAGACATAATTGCCCCACTAAATAACCGCACTAATAATACTGTTATACACCATAGCAGCAACAACAGCAACAACTAACCAGCAAATGTGACCCTACTTTGGTCTTCCGAACCCCGAACACAAAAGCGAAAGCAACAAAACTTCAACTTGACGTGCACATAATTCAAGGTGTAAAACGTGATTTGTGCCGCGCTGTGCTGTGTTGCCTTTGCGAATGCTGTGTGGTTGCGTGCGACGTTGTGGGTTTGTTAAGGCCACTGCACTGATTGCCACACCCCGTGCTTGTTGCTTGCCCACTTGCTCACCTGTCCGCCTGGCTTGTTAATACTCGACTTATAACAGCTCCATTAAGGCATCATGACGAATTTATTCTCAAGTAATTGCTTTACTCGGCATTAATAAATTTCTCATGCAATTATTGTGTATCTTATTATCAATTTATTGTGGTTGTTGTTATTGTTGCTGCTTTTGTTATTTGTTGCCTTTAACACTGGCTTTGTTATGCGTCAAATATTTGTGTAATTCCAACAGTTGTGAATACGTTTTACTAATTCGCTGCTAAATATTTGTGTTTATTAAGGCTTACAGGGCGTATACGTAACATTTGTGTGTGGAGTGTGTGGTGAAATTAGAATGAATTTATTTTTAGCTTTTCGGAACGAAGAATTAAAATTGTCAGTATAAAACTGTTTGAATTCTGTTGAGAAAATAAATAATTTATTCAAAGACATTTTAGATAATACTTTCAGTATTAAATCTATTCAAAATTATTGAAGAACTTTAATTTTGAATGAAATATGACATCTGTAAAACTAAAAGCTATAAATACTATTAAAAATATTTTTTAACAAATTATATACCCATATAAAAATTTGATTTTGATCGTTCAGTTTGTATGGCAAATATATGCTCTCATCATTCGATCCGAACAATCTCTTGGGAGATTGACAACAAACTATGCCAAATTTCGTGAAGATACCTCCGCAAATTAAAAAGTTTTCCATGCAAGCACTTGATTCCGATTTTTCATATCTACAGTTGTCCGATATCGGCGGACGGACAAGGGAGCAGCTTCTTGGAAAAGGCAGAGCATATGCAGAGTTTTCAGATGGATATCTCAAAAACTGAAGGACTACTTATTTTTTTCTCTTCTTTATATATATACTAGGGGATCCGGCCACGCGTTGACGTGGTATATATTTTATACTTTTGTTCATATAATAAGCTATTTAATTCAGTGAAAATTTCATTTACAAATAAAGGCGTAAACGTTTTTGTCGGTATAGGAATCCAAGGGATTGTACTTAAGGTTTAATTTTTAATATGTTCATACAAATAAATTTCATTGGAAAAATTAGCGAATTTAAGGCTGCTTTCTCAATGCTACCAATGTAAACAGCGTTTCTGTCTAGTTAATAGAGTTGTCTGCTTAATAGATTGTACTTAATAAACATCAACAATGTACATAGTTAGGAGAGCTTTCACATTATTCTTTATTTATCAATCGTTTTAAATATCCTATATTCTAAGTTGGTTCGAACTGAAGACAGTGTGCTGAATGTTAGTAAAATCGGTTCAGTAGTTTAGGAGTCCATCCGGGGCAAACAAACTGACACATGTTTTTTATATATAAAGATTTCTTGCGTGCAAATGTATGTCACTGCACTCCTCCTAAACGTTTGGACCGATTTTGATCAAAGCTTTTGTGTGTATTCAAGGAGATTCGAGAATGGTTTAAATTCACAAATTGGTCCACTGGAAATTAATTTTTTTGTAAACTAACAAAAGTGGCTCACCCAAAATGCTATATCTCCTTAACTAATAGTTATAATCTAAATAATAGAAGTCATGTAGAAGGTACTAGTAGTACTATCTAGTACGCATCAGCCACAGTAAAACGTGGACGGGTCCTCTATTATTTTCATATAAAGAAAATTAGAGCGCTATATACATACATACACGCATGTAAATATGTACATATTTATTGATATTAATAAAATTTTATTTGTTCGTCTCCATATATGCAAGAGTGTTTGTCTATTGTATGTATGTATATGTGAATCTGGGTAGTCTAAGCTAATAAAGTGACTTGAATTAAAAGATGTGCACGGCTGCGTGTAAGATAAGACTTTGCAAGGCCGACAAGGAAAATGGCAAAAATAAATGAATTTTAAATAAAAGGGGAATGTGTTAAATGCTTAATGATCATCCAGAAATTATTTGCTTATGAATCAAAAGCAAACATGGAAAATCTCAAATTGCAATCTCAATGACAATGAGTTCAAGGCGAGCCATTACAGCATGCCCAAACCGGATAACCAAATGATTAGACTACCAGCAAATATCACAAGCAAATAGACAAGACGTGCAATAAATAATAAGTAATGGAAAATTAAAGCCAAAAAGAACAAGCAGATAATATGAAAATATAATGGAGTCGAAGTATAAAGTGAAAGTAGCGTTAGATGGGGGCGTATAAAACGCACAGAAAAAGATCAAAGGCACATAGCGCATATATAGTGGCATCACTTTATGGTAAATTTGTATGCTTGCCTGTGCTATAAGTAGCTTGCTAAGAACCGAGGCGACAGCTATTAAAGTTTATCACTTAACGCCTTAAAATGTCTAACGTTTCGCTCCACACACACACACTACATTGACGAAGGCCGTGAGCTGTTGTTGCTCTTGACCAGCGGCAAAACGCCCAAATGGATTGCTAAGCGCCCCAAACGGAGCACGGCCGCCCCTGTCAATGCGTTTATTAGCGTTAAAATATTTCTGCCATTTTGTCAATTCTGTAATCGGATACTACATTTAGGTTGCGTTTAAAAATAAATTACTTTAAACTACACAAACACAGTGCGGCGAATGAACATTTACACGTACGTGTTTGACAGGCAAATGTCACATATACGCCCCGACGACCAAAACCACTCTTGCACGCTCGTCTGCTGCCTGTCATTACACGACTTCGTTTGTGTAGTCGCCCATTTTGTGTACTTGCGCCGAAATATCACTGAAATAGTTATGCGTTACAACAACGACCGGAAAACCTTGCTTATCGTGCTTAACTGACCGAAACGTGACTGGAAAGTGTAGGACACGCGAACACTCAACGTAAGTTGCTTTGCGACAAGTCACAAGCATTTTCAAATGGTCGCGTTGCGGTGGGGTGAGGGAGTTAGGGTGTCGTTGCAAAAGTTTATATGACTTAACGGGAAAAAATATTTTGGTTTACTCACCGTGATCTTATTTGTTCATTGGCTAGTTCGGTGCGTGGAAACTTTTTCGATGCCGCCACTGCGGTCTCAAGCGCACTGGTGTCATCCAGTTCGCCCTCAAGTGTGACGAAAATAATGGAGCCCATGGCGGTGTAGAGCAGCACGAGCAGGAGTACGCCTGGGGGGATGAAAGTGTGTAAAGTAGCAGATTAGTACGGATGAAATGGAAAAATTAAATTACCGTTAGTATTACAAAATATTAAAAGTTAGAAAATATTGATAAAGTGCGAAATTTATGAATTTCCTGAATAGTTTTATATAGTATATTAGGTAGTTTCTTACGTATTGGAAATATCGAAGTTTCAACTTACACTAGTAGAATAATGTCTTTAGGGGAAAAATGGCAAAAAATGGTTGACCAAAATGTTACATATTATATTCATTAAAGTTCATTATAAATATAAAAAAATAGGTTGAAGTTTGATTAGAAATACGAAGAGACTTTTTGACTACCCAATATTTAATTAACTTTAGACATAAACTGCCCTCCCGGTCTCATTTTTCTTCCACTGCTATTTCTTTATTATTATTTCTCCTCTCTCACTCTTTAATTCTAACTCTCATCACAAATTAAACTCTACACTCTTTCTCTTCTATTAGACAAATTATTTTTCCCTCTCTGAATGATTCATATTTTAAGATACCCTTATTACCTGTTAGTTTTCAGTCTCTCTTCATATCAGATCTTTCCCAAAATCGCATTCACAGCTTTTTTCTCACCACTAAATGATTTTCACCTAACCAAAAAAATATTTCTATCTATAGCTATTTTATCAGGCGTCTAAGTACATATTTCTTTCCCCTAACTAATTTCTTGCCTATAAAACTGCCTCTTGTTTTTTCCTAAACCTCCTTGCTCTCCAAATTCTCTAAAACATATAAAGTATACTCTCTTTACGCCACTGTTTTGTCAGATTTACGCTCTTTCCGTATTCGTCTACGCTCCCTACCACTATAATTTTCACTCTTACATTTAAATTGTTCATATTTCTAAGCCGCTCACCTGTCGCCGATATGCAATGTGACTTGGGCGCCTTCTGGCAGCCGCACAAGCCGCCAGCGCCGCGTTGCTTTTCTCCCGACCCGCCGCCACCACCGCTGCCACCGCTTGAGCCGCCACCACCACTACCACTTTTACTGCTTGGAAAACACATGCCGCTGCCAATGCTGCTACTGCTGCTCGAACTAATCGCCGATTGCGAGGCGTGTATGAGCGTCGGACCACCGATGAATGCGGTCAACGGCAATGGTGGCTTCTTCTGCATAATAACGCCCACGTATGGGCGTGGTGCCTTAGGCGACAACGATGGCCAACACTGTAATTAGTGGTGATATGAGAGAATGAGCACCGGAAAGTGATCACTTGTTGACTCTGTTTCGACTAATAGTTGTACGAACTCACAGGCAGTGTGCAGTTACTCACGCTTTCAGTGTTCACGGAAAAAGCAAAATTTGTCTGCTTTAATGCAAAACTACCCTTAAGTTTAGACTTTAAGTGAGTTTAGCGCTTTTGTGATCTGTTCTCTCGTAGAAATTCTTTTGCTTTTCAGTTTTTAGTCTAATTTTTTCGTCGCCAACTTTTCCAACTCATTTTTATTGGCAATTAAGTTTGGCATTTTTTACCGAAATTTTTTCTCGCAATGCTTAAACATAATAACGCCACAGTATGGCTTGTTGCTTGTAGCTGCTATGAGCACTTATATGCATAGGGCTTGCTTTGTTGTTGCATCACTTAAAGAGTGTCTGTCGCCGGAAGCTGTAATAAAAGTAAAAGTAATGCGAGATAGAATTAAATAACTTTTTATTACGTACGTCCATGCACAAACACGCATATATATATATACTTCTACATATATATAAATAGAGCAACGAGAATTAAAGAGCGCTGAGCGCATGGCGGGGCTATTTTATTTCCTTTAATTTGAAAGCATTTATATTGACATTAAGCTTTCTGTGAAAAATAAAACATGTAGCTGGCTTTTTAATAAAATTTAAGTTTATTGAAAAAATGCAGCGAAAAAATTAACTAGATGAGTTGAACGTTGGTAAAAAGGGAAATGAGAAAATGAGGAAATAATATAAAGCGAGTCTTTACTTATTTGCGTTAAACAGAAATTAGATTGAGTGAAATTATAACTGGTGGCTACGTTTATGCGTCGAAAACAGGAAGAAACCAAAAGTGAGAGAAGCAAAGTTTGTGCACGAGATTTATTAAATTTTCAATTTGTTTTCAGTTGTTTTCGTATTATTTGAGCATATGTTGAACACCACTCGAACTATATAGCGGGCATGTCGCTCTCTTCTTCTTTGCTTTACTTTAATAAGTTGTTATATGCAGTTGAAATTTAAGAAAAAAAAAATACTTCTTATTTTTTTGGAAGGGACATTTAATTTCCCATTTATCTTCAAAAAAAAACAACTAATCTGATATACCAAACTAAAACCGTCGGCTGTTTCTCACCACTAATAACAGACTTTTTACGCAAAACACGCACACCCACGCACTCAAGTATAAAACAATTATGCATAAATCAGCAAATGTCAGTCAGCAAACAATCATCAGAGGAAACCAGCAGCCGGAAGCCGCCAACATCAAAGTCACCATGGAATGCAACGTCGACGAAGCGAAGCAATTACCAAATCGAAAGCAGCGACAACCCAGCAAACAACCAAAAAAACAAGTAGCAACAACTAAAAACATACTGCAAAAACTGGTATAAAGATAGAATGCGACTCAAAAGGCAAATGCCGACGCATGTGTTTTAAACTCCTTTCACCAACGCCAAACCCCTTGGCCCCACTACGTACGATAGTTTTGTCGTTGTTGCTGTTGTTTCAAAAGCAAACACCCGCTCGAGCTGACTAACAATGTGGCAAACATGTTGGCTTGTTGCTGTCGCAGCAATTGTAGTCGTAGTGAGAGCCGCAAAGCTGACGCTTTTGGCTATTGGCAAATGTACACTCACGCTCACAAGCCGCCCCTCCCCAAACGCGCACACACGCTCGTTCACCAAGCGCACTGCCACTTATGCATGTGCTGTTAAATACCAAAAATTGTATTTACGCTTGGCTTTATTGAAACAAATATAACGGTCCTGTGTATTGTCAAACATCGACAGCGCCCGGAGAGCACAATCGTTATAGTTAACGGTTGTCGTTGCGATGACACATGCGAATGGCTTTGGGTGGCAAACGTGAAAAGAAGAAGAAAAAAGGGAATTTGTGGGAGCGCTTCCTTCATGACCCAGCTTTCAGAGGTAGGGACCCTTAGTATTTATAGTTTACTTCGGTTGCGACATATTCCCGAACCGTTACTTAGTTTTGGTTGGCTTGAGTATTAAAGCTTGAGATGTAACCATTTCTTTAGATCGTTTGTCTGACTGAACTGTACGTTCTGTCGTTGGGATACGACTAATTTGTTGTTGTTATTGTTGTAGCGGATGAATTCTGCCGAGTTGCCGATCCTTGGCTGTTCTGGTTACGAAGACCCGACTGTCGTGGGAACGGATCGAACGATTTTTTTATACTGGGTTCAGGCTAAACTTGAGTTTAAACCGTTTTATGTAAACTCTAACTAGCAAAATTCGAATGCCTTCCTTAGATCGTGATCTTCCACTTCAGACTGCTCTCATTCCCGTCACACCTCTCAAATTATCTATGCTTTAACACACTCAGACTACTTATTGAAGGCCGACTTGCGAGGGATGAAGTCCTACAACCATTCGCAGGAAATGGAAAAAAAGATCCAACCGACCTGACTCTATTTTTATATGTGATTTATCTTCAATGTGACACCACTTGACACAAACTCGATCAAAAAGTGTTAACCGTCTGCTGACATTAGATATCCCGGATTGAGTAAGATCTCCTGAAATACTGCTCTGGCATGGTGAGGTATGGCATGGTAAAAGGTCATATGAGTCTCTCTGGTCGACTCTGTGTACAAGTTTTTCTTCATATATTTCATTAACTTTAACGCTCAACTAGCACTTTTCTTAATGCGGATTTGAAAATTCCATGTGCTTTCCAAGAATTTGTAATATTTTGTATTTCCAAGTACCGCAGACAGCTCTGATTTGCCGTTATGCGAAACGTGCTGGCATGCCAAACCATAAATGTTGAGCTCATGTGTGGCCAAATTGTATATTTAATAGTTTTGCTGTGTTTGCGCTGCGAATTCCGATGCAAGCAACACGCTGTGTACACACGCACACACACACGGGCGAGAATACACACGCATCTAAATCCGGGCTAACAATTTTGGTCGAGTTAACAATTAAATCCATGGCTGCAATATTCGACTATTCGCATTTCAAATGCACAAGTGCACCGGTATTTGTGGGTATGCGTATGTGTGTGTGTATGTTGGTGTAGCGCTGTTGCAATGTTTTTCTACGACGCCCGCCGCTGTGTGGCGCGCTCCCAAATACGAATATTGAAATGCGGTCATTGCTACGCCCATATTGGGCCACAGCAGGCGAGTGCGCGCAGCCGGAGCTCGGGCGCCAGGCTTGGTGACCTAAGCTGCAGTGTGCAGGTGCCGCGCTTAGCTCTGGCCGCCGCAGAGCAGTTAGCAGATAGATAATAGAAAAGCATGCACACGTGGGTGGATATGTGGAACTATGCGCTGGTATTTGCGTGAGCCACTCCGGGTCAGGTTGACCTGATTGCAGCGCGCCGCCAAGGGCTTAGCGCGAGCTGGTTGAGTGGACGTTTTGTGGCCGGCGTGCCTGTGAGGGTGTGTGCGGTCCTTGGCTGGCGCACATGCACCCACATGAACAAAAATACAATATAAACTAATATTTAGTGGTGCACCGGTTGCGACGTCGGCGCTGTTGTTGTTGTGCATTTGGCGCGTGTCTGCGCATTTTCTACGGCTTCATGTAACGCCAGGCACAGACATTAATTTCACGGCTTTCTTTACCTGAGCTGCGCTGCTCGCTTATTTCACTTTTGCGCCATTCATTTCAATTTTGTCTGATTTGCACTCCCTCGACCAAGCCGCGCGCGTCACGCGGCTGTCAGCCGGCGTGCCTCAGCCAACCGAGCAGTCAGTCGGCCCGTGAGTCTAAGCATTTGCAGTTTTGTTTGCGGCACACGTGCGCACTTTCTTGGTATTATTTCAAATTGGTCTGTTCACCATCTAAACAACAACAGCAACAATGGCTCAGTTAAATTGAAACCACGAAAATTGAGCGCAAAACAAGGCGTACGAAAATCAACAAGCAGTCATTGTAGAAAATGAGCATAAAACATTTCGGCAGCAGAAGAAACACAAAGCAATTCCAGAAACTAAAAGTGGCAGCAAGCAAAAAGGCACACAGAGTCGCATTTCACAACATTTTGAAGATATCACGTATACGACAGGCTGTCCTTCGAAAATATTTATAGCATGCAGTAGGACGCTCGTGAGAGTCCACGCGAAAACATGCTAAATTTTAATGAGCACTATGCGAACGAGATATATTTCAATGTGACAAGCCGAATGTGCCCATCGACGCTGAAGGCGTGTGGCACACTTAAAGAGGCAAAGTGGAAGAGTGAAATATCAGGTCTGCTACGGTTATTTAGGGCACAGATTTCGAAAAGTAGCAAAACTTATTAAAAAAAAATATATATATATATTGAAAATACCGTAACCGCCACGAACAAATTTATGGCCTGCAAGTAAAATTATTAACTCTTTCGCAAGGGTCATTGAAAACTATAGTGGCAACAGAGATCGCTACTACTTTATGATCTTATTTCATCCAAAAAAAAAATGGGAGCTTGATCTAGCATAAACAAAGTTAATCCAATTCTCAGATCTACCTAGGTAAACCCATGACAGATATCGCAGCCGCTTGGAAGTTGCATCACGATAATGCCCCGGCTCAAATGGTCTTTCTTGTGAACGGTTATCTAATAAAGGCAGACAGACCAGATGTGGCTCAACGGCCTTTTTTTGGTTTTGTGTGCTTTCCTGAAAAGGCCGATGAAAGGGGATCCAAGCAGCATGCACCCCGGCTCTCGACTCAGTTCTATTACTTTCCACACAAACCCTGTATTTAAAAGCAGCAAAAACAATCCCTTTTGGTATGTATCTCTTTTTATCTTCAGATCTCTCTGCTCCTCACTTTTTCTCATTTTGTACTCTCTCTGACTTTCTAATCCAGACAAATAGGTCCATAGAATAATTCTAGAGGATTGCCTTCCTAAAAAAAATATTCCAAAGACTTCCAACTCACTGCCTACTCAACTTATCTAACGAAAGAACAGTTAGGCACTTATTCTCTTTTGCCTTATCACCTTCTAACATTTTGAACTAAACTTTAAGCGCTTTAGTGTGGTTTTGCCTCTTCAACTTATCTAAAAGGAACCAAAGGCGTTTTCTTAGAATCACATTCTTATTAGAGCCAATAAAGAGCACAGAAAACACACTCGAACACTTTCTTCCAGTTAACACATGCGCTCACTCCAAATTGCATGAAGCGTGTCACCGACATACTCGCATTTAGAAAATAGTAAGTACACACTAAGTAAGCAAAAACAAAAACAAGCACACATATTGGCTCGTAGTGAGTAAGGCAAACAATTTAAAAGCTCAATGGGCCAACAAACACTTGAACAAACCGTACGCATCCCATTCAAACGCCGGCGCATTCACTATCATGTTCAAAGGTTAATAAATGAGGGTGTCACCTGCGGGTCACAGCTGGTGCGTAAATTGTGTGTGTGTGTGTGTGTGTGTGTGTGTGCGTATGTGTTTGTATTGTC